CGAGACACACATGGCTCCTCGTAACACATCTATTCGCACCTCGGGGTGTGGGGCAGGGGGCGGTGCACCATTTCCCTGCAGCTTGAACATCACTTTTATGCAGGTGTTCACAGAGACATAAAAAGACCGCAGACAACAGTGAAAGTAATGGCCCGGATCTAACGGAATCTCCTGTTTTGGGAAGGACGAAAGGACGAAGTCGCTCAGGAAACCATAGCCAAACACAGAAAATCCACTTACGAGTGCGATTATATGATCTCGACATTCAACGACATGTGAGCAAAAGCGCTTCCAGGCTGTACTTTACGTTTCCCGCTTTCATTTGTGAGACCGCTTTGATTTTCTGTACTCAATTTGGCTTTCCGTCTCAGTGAAAAAGCCTCATACAATGAGCCGTACAGTTCCAAATGCTTATGTCAGGACTACAGAACTGATCCGTTTAGAGTCGATTTTAATTAAGAGAAATTCTAAAACAAAGTGCCTTCGCATTCAGCTATTTGCAAAAATGGATTATCCCGATTAATTAACAATTCCAGCATCTTACCTACAGTGTTGCGCGACTTGGTACTACGACAAAGATAAACGCGAGCATTAATCACACTACGATATAAAAGAATGTACCTTCTCCGGTTGGGCAGCTGAAGTGAATTTAACAAATCGAATCAGACATCCAGTATGACCCACACCACTCCAGCTAAATCGCTCAGGAGTGCCCATCTCCTTTATTTCTGACACAGCCCGTAAACAAAGCCGTCAAGCCTCCATCCTGGACGACGTGGCTCGCCTAGAAACCCTCTAACGATGGAGATGATACATCTACACCGGTGCTCATTAGTCCCGGTTTCTGTGCGGCGTCCATGCCGTGATCCCTTCATGGCCAATAAATCAAGTGTTGTGGACTGGGGCATCGCGCCGAACAGCAGAACCTCAGACAGAGAGGTTAGCTACCCGGAGTAATTCATCACAAGTGTGAGGAAGCCTTCCTCCGTCAGCACTGAGACAAACTGTCTGACACATTACCTATCCTGCGAAAACAATCTCGAAAAAAGACAAGCTGCATCGAAACGGACACAACTATGGAAAATGAGATCGATAAACACTTATGCATGGCCATAAATACATGACATATACATATATGTTCACAAACATTTGTAGAATGATTATAAAAGCAGTAATAATAATCAAACAGATACAAAAACACATGGGCTAATATGCATATGCCCACAGTGTATAGTACAGGCCTAAGCAATGCTAAATTGAAACGAGTATTGATATTTGCTCAGACTTTCAAGGAATTGCAAATGGAAAAATCAAGCATGGAAATTATATGAAAGGATGAAGGGGAGGAAGAAGAGGATGCTTACAGATGGATGCAGGGAAAGCCTCGGAGATGTCCTCCACGCTGGCAACATCGGTGTTGTGCACTCGGCCTAACAGGTCCTCTGAAAAGACAGACACAGGCCAGTTAACAATCGTATACAGGACGCAGTAGCTTTACCTTAGTGATAATTCCTGCCTGTTCTTTTATCCCATCCAAGGGGCCCCTGCCAATGGGCCAAGAGCCAGAATCACTGTGATCCTGTATAAGTGGTTAGATAATGGATGGGTGGCCGTAAATGTTTTCCAAAGCGGATTTTTAAGCTGATATCCGCTAAGTTTCCTTATTACAGCAGCGTGACGGCGGCGGGGCTGCGCGTTACGTCGGCCTCGACACTGCAGCCGAGAGGATATTCCTGCTTCTCAAGAACAGTTTGACAAGAACTGATGGGCATCTCACATGATCATGAAGACAGAGCTTGGGAGGAATTCAAAGGACAAAGCCATTTAAAGGTTAAAATGAATGACTAGAGCCATATTTTTTAGGGGTAATGTCATTATGAGGCCGTGGATGGAGTCATCAAGTATTTTAACAAATTGAGTAAGTCATCCAGAATAGCCTGTTCCATATGAGCATCACTCAGGAGAGACGCTGTCCTGTATTACCGACACGCCCGTAACCAAAGGCCATTAAAGAGCGAGACAGGAGCGCGGAGCTCGCCTTGACATGCTGGAGATGACGGCGATGAGGAATAAGCTGAGTCGCTTATTTGAACGTAAGTGTCAGACCTTCCGTCGCGCACCTGCATCTTACCTGCGGGATCAAACAGAATTCCGGCCCCTTCTGTGACGGAATGTCGGACGAGGACGTTCCGATATACGGGGGATAAAGAGACACTTTTCGCCCCAGTGCCTGTCCTGGGCTGCAAGGAAAAGGAGAAGGAAGTAGAAAAGTGAGAATTATTCAAACGTATATAAATATATAAGTAAACAAGAAGAGTACCCAATACTGAATATGACTGAAAACCCAAAACTAATTGAAAAAGTAACTAAATCAAATATTCCTGTTCATATGTACTACTAGCTACATATTTCATTGTAGCTAATTTGCCAAAATGGCATTAAGATTATATAGTCTATATGACCTTGTCTGTATGCTGTGGCTATATGCCACATCACCTGATCCAGAAGCTTCCTCAGCCACCAAAGCTGGGCCTCCGTCTGCCTGTTGTGGAGCTCAAAGGCCTGAACCCGCTCCTCCAGAAGGCTCCTGTGCCACGGCGGGAGCTCGTCTTCCACCTGGCAGTCCTCGGTCGTCTCCTCCGCCTCCTCTCTGCAGTTGTAATCTGACGCTTCACACTCTGAGGGGCTGGATCGGTCCCTCTCAGAGTGCGGCACTTTCAGGTCGCTGAAGTCTGCATACAAGCTGCTGCCAGACAGACATAAACGCACGAGAAACTCTTTATGTACGTGACTGTATCCTCGGGAACCCCCCTGAAGGACCCCCTCCAGTCATTCCAAAACCAGCACACCTGATTCAAACAATAAAGGTCTTAATGTCACTTAATTACTTGAATCTGCTGTGGTCGTGGTGGAACATAACAAATATGTGGGACGGCTAGGGGGGTCCCCGTGGGGGGGTTGATGCGCATTTCATGATGTGCCAAACAGAAGTAGCTGATTGAGTAATTAGAGCGTAAGATGATGTTGGTACATCAAGCGGCAGGGGGGCTCACATTAGCAAGGTTACCTGCTTCACGAGCAATGCCCCGGGACATAGTTGGGGGGCCCAGATTGAAAAATGATTCTCTGCTCTAATCGGCTCCGGCAGTTTCGTGTGGCACCATCTGACAAATAGCTGTCAGACTGCATCAAAGGAATGGACCTCGATTCTTCCAGACACATGCAGGATGACTTAGCAAACTGAGTACAAAAGGAAATAAGTTTGGACTAAAAGACACCGAAACGACGTCTGAAAACATGCATTGTTATCCATCCATCTTCCAAATGCTTATCTTGGACTGGGTCTGGGGGGAAAGCGGGGGCTCACCCTGGATGGGGGGCCAGTTCATCATAGGCACACAAACAGAAAGGCTCACACATACAGTACTAGCCACAGTACAGTCTTAGGACAGCCAGAGAAAACCAGCTTGAGAGGGAGAACAAGCAAACTCCACACACAGAGCACAGATGAGTATATATGGCTATTATTTATGTGTTATAGGTACTTTAGTCATTACAAGGCTGTATAAGTGGTTATGGAAAACGTATGAATAAGGAACGGATGGTTATAATTTAGTCCTGTCTAGTTTATTCAAGTCCAAACAGCAAACTTCTATACTATCCAATGGTCACCCCTGTTCAGGGGTGATTCTAGGATTTAAGGTGGGTGCAAAAGAGGAGCCAACCATGTGATTAGCCAATGATATGTTTTATTTCAGTGACAGGTGAGGGGCCATTCCCGGGGGCCAATCAGCTTTCAGCTAGTGACAGTGCCTCTGTAGCCCCGCCCTGTATATGCCCCTAAGCTGGTTACTTTTTCTCATTTATAGGTGACTCACATGGTGATGATGAAGGGGCGGGGCTATCGTTGACTGATAGCGTATGGGAGCTACCTTTGCTCACGCTCCATCTGGCCGATGGTGTCCTCCATCACGAACTGTCCATCTCCATCCGTCGCATCCCAAATGTGGCCGGGGCTTTCCGGGTGGCAGAGGGGCAACTCTGGGCCCCCAGAGGGCAGGTAGGAGATGTGGGTGTGGTCATCCTCCATGCTGGAAGGGCAGAGGAGGGCAAACAAGTAGAAGAGCAACTATCACCAAAATATCAATGGCTTAAACTTTGAAAGTATGGACAGCTTATATAAGTCAGACTGATTCACACGGCATCACGAGATTTGTGCAGTAGTATCCTGTGCCTTTGGGGTTGTGTGAACATCTGATTGGGTTAGAAGCCTCACTTAAAGATTCCCATTTGCAAAAAATTCCATCTGCCGTGTGACTGACTTGAAGGGCATTACAACAGCTGTAGTAATTAAAAGTGGGTCCAGTAACGTCAAGCCACTTATGTTGAAGATACGGCTGCATAACAATGCCTTCGAACCCAGGGCTGCATTGCCTGCATAATTAAGGGCCCCTTTTATAAAGGGCAGAATCCTTCAACAGGGATCACGAGTTCTTGTTCTCCGTTATAGGATTTCTAAGGCCGAGGAGTTTATATCATTGATGGTCCTGAATTTAAGTAAGGACCACAGACATGAATATATACATGAACGCCTGATTTTCCTTTATCATTTGTTGTTTTAGATGCACTGGTGACAGGATGTACTTAAAGTTATTAAATTATCTCATTACTCGGGCGACCGGGAGGGGTGAGGAACAGGCTAACAGAATGACGGGAGTCGTTTCAAACGACGTCAATGTGCACAATGTATTACTAAAGGCCTGGCTTTAAATCAGTCCCATTGCAGGAAATGGAAATTTGATTTGTCGGCGGCTAAAGCCACAGCCCAGCCAGGATTTATGGCTGCAGTTTGGCCATTTGAAAGATCTCCTGGCGGCACCGAATCGTTCCCTCCCTGACGGGAATTCGCAATCGCTCTACGGAATATGATGATTGCTCCACAATGAATTAACCGATCCAGCGGCACTGTCACTGCACAATACAAGCAATGCAATCTTGTGATATTTTATTAGCATTTTGGTAGCTAATTCCCTGTTCCTCCGTCATCCCTGGCCTCTGGAAAGCTAATCCACGGTAATGAAAAGAAGTACATCATCATTCCTCTCTCGCCACCCTATGTGATATATAGTATAACCTGCCACAGTGTATAAAAACGACAGGCTTTGAATACACTTAGTGGCTGACTTATAAACTATACACAATAAACTGTATAAAATATAATCATGTACATGCTTCTATCAGTCTGTTAAAAAGCCATGCAAACCAGCATATAAAAAAAGAAAAATGCATAATTTAGTTTTTTTATTCAACTAAATTGTTTAGGAAATAGCCTCAGAGTTAGAATTACATGACAGAACTAAATTTATTACCTACCATTAAAAACAAAATCCTATCCCGAGTAGACAGAATATTGCAGAAACGAATGAAAATAAGTAATCCTGCGAAAGTCGCTGTTAGATCCCGAAAGGTCAACAATGACAGTGACATCATGAGCCTCAGAGGGTTAGGTTGCTGTGCTGTGATCTTTCCAGTCGCCGGCCGGAGTTTTGCACTGAGCAGAGCAGCAAATATCTGGGCCCTTGTGGAAGGCCGTTAAGCCCCCCCCCCCAGAAAATGCTGCAGGGACACTGGATGGAAAACTGACCCTGTGCTCAGACCCCAAGCCTCGCTGTCATCTCTGTATGTACATCCATAAAAAAAACAGAGCATGATGGGATATCTGAAAACACATTCCAGTGTACTTACTGTACAATGCTCTCACCCTCGTACAAATGGCCAATAACTCTTCGTTTACTTAGTGTCATACTTCTGCCACTGATTCCTGTTTTCATTTCTCCCCCCTTCAGTTTTCACCTCCGCCATCAGCTGCTGTAACTCTTGCCTCGGCAAGTTTCCAAAAAGTGCAGTGATTGTGCTATAAGTGTATATTTCTCAGTATTTACGCCCAGTTCAGGTGTCACACCTTTCTAAGAAAGTTGAGAAAGGAGTTAAATCAAGGCTCCTCCAGCTCATTTTCCCAGTTTAGCGGCCTCCAGCAATGCAACTCACATGCTCCCCGCTGTGGAGTCGCTGTCCGCCAGCCAGGCTGCGTCCGCCGTCTCCGCGTGTGACAGCCTGAAACGGGCGATACAGCAGTAATCGCTTCACTGATGGAAGAAGGCCGACTTGAAAAGCATTAAAATACATACTGCTGCGAATCAGCCTGAGGCTGTATTACAAGGTCCCAGACAGCCCCAGTCGGAGATACCGCATCCCTTAATTTCAGCAGCATTCCACTGTTGGATAAGTTCATGCCGGATAATGGAGAGGTCATCTTGTGATATGAAACTGAGCGCCTTCCTCTCCCGCAAGGAGAAAAAAATGCAGTCGAATGTGAAACATTCAGCTTGTCTTGATGTGTTTTTTTTTAAACATAACCCCTTGCTGACCCCATTTTGTCTAAAAGTGTGGAGAAAAGTAGCAGAGGAAGGCAGGCAGTTTCCTAGACAGAGTATTTAGCGACGTATTAAGATATAATTTATAAAGTTAATTTTTTCATGCTGAATTTCTCAGCCAGCGGCATCCTATTGCTTCAGATCCTGCTGATACATTGGTTGAGGGGCTAATCAAAAACAGTTTACTGCCATTGTATTATCACCCATTTAAATGACCGAGCAAACAGACCATTGATTGATTGACTGACTGCTGATTGATTGATTGGTTGATTGATTGACTGATTGATTGATCGATTGAAAAAACAATTCACTTTTATGGCTGACTGCGTGTTCTTGATCCTAGATTTTCTTGAAATATTTTGAAGAAAATATAACAATATATCTCTCCAAATAATAGAAAAATATCCCCTAGTTATCAAGTCTCATGATTAAATCAAGAAACTGACAATTTTATCATTTTATATTGTATCGTATTTTCACCCTTCGGTGATTCCTAATTACTGCTGCTCTTAACAGTTATAATTGTAATGAGCACTGATTAATGAATACTGCCCGGATATTAATGAGCTTTGGCTATTAACAGGGAAGTAGCCTCTTTTGCGTTAATGGAAATGAGGGCGTGTGAGGCTGGCATGGGGGGGGGATCTGTGGAAACGTCAAGGGATCCCCAAGACAGGGGTGCTGATGTAGGTTAGAGACAGAGTGTTTTAGGTTGATCTGGGGGCGGGGGGCAGGGGGTGGTGTTAAAGGTGAGATTGCATGGTGCGCGATACTCACTCGTAGTGTTCGGGGCACATGCTCAGGAGTGTGACTGGGCTGCAAGGAAAATAGGTTGGAGGGGAGGGTCGGGGGAGGGGAAAAGAAAAGAGAAAAAACAGAGAAGTTAATAGCCTTCGAGAAGAAATTCAGCCATTCCGTCGTGTTTCCACTGCCATTCAGGAGCTCTGCCGTATCCGAGCCAAACCATGAAGGGGAACTAGTTACAGCACGGTTCCAGCTCGCCTCGGTTTTCCACTGCAGAAGGATCTACTCTGTAAAGGTGTGGCCGGGTTTGGAGAGCAACAATGACATAGAACCGTAGAGATGTATATCTACTGTTCATATGATGTACATCATGACTGTGTTCCATTTCAGGGGCTGCATCCTTCGAAGGAAATGGTCGGTGTAGCCTTTGTAGGCTGCGTCCTTCAAAGGTTCACACAATGACTCCTGGGATCTCGGCTAGAGAATTCCACATTTCTAGGCCGGGTCTGAAGAAGCATTTGAAACAGGATGGCCTTGTCGCGCCGCTGTCACACATTCAATCCTCGAATGCAGCCTTAGAAAGATGCAGCACCTGAATTCAGATACAGCCCATGATTTATTAAGCACTAATTTCCACGATGGTGGTGCGGGAGGTAGTGCTACCGTTCGGCAACCGGAAGGTTGCAGGTTCGGGTCCTCTTGACCCCATCGAAGTGTCCTTGAGCAAGACACTGAACCCCAAATTGTTCCGGGTGAGCAGGTTGGCACCTTGCATGGCAGCCTCCGCCACCGGTGCGTGTATGGATGGGTGAATGTGAGGCATAACTGTAAAGTGCTTTGAGTGCTTGAAAGAGTAGCAAAAAATGTGCTATATAGATGCAATCCATTTACCACTAGCAAGTCTGTGACAATCACATGTTATATCAGCATCAAACGCTAGTGTAATTAACATTTGCTTGTGTGAATTAGCATTATGCATCCATCTTGCTCAGCTGTTATATAGAACTTTTTTAGGTATTGTGATTGGAAATGTTCAAGATCTGAGTTATCAGGAATGCATCAATATATCGCAATATATATATATATATATGTATGTGTGCGATATCAATAAAAATTAATGATATATATTGAATATCATCAAAAGATCATCGGTGCCCCCCCCTGCACTCCATCCAGGACTTGTACTGCTCAAGGACTAGGAAACGTGCAGTTAAAATCATTTCAGATCCATCACACCCAGGACATAATCTCCTCCAGCTCCTCCCCTCTGGCAGGCGCTATAGAGCTCTGTACACAAAAACCAGTAGACATAGGAGCAGCTTCTTCCCTCAGGCCATCACCCTCATAAACAGCTAAGCTGTCACCTGCCCCCTGTCTACACTCTACGTCGTACCTTAATAATGTACAATGTTACCCACGTAGGCTTGTATATAATATTTATATGTTTCATACTTGTAATTTTTTGTACAGTGTAATTTATTGTTTGTTTGTATAGTGTCATTTATTGTTGTATAGCTTGTATAGTGTCTCTATGTACGAGAGAGTCTCAAGCTGCCGGAACAAATTCCTTGTGTGCCCCAGCACACTTGGCGAATAAAGGCTGATTCTGATTCTGATATGTCCTTCCTATTCCTTCAGATAATACATGCATATTGACACAGAACATTAGTATCTCCATGCATTTCAACCAATCTGTCAGTGCAGTGATAGGCTTGGGTACAGCTTGCATGGAAAACCGTCAGTCGCGGTACGGTACAGCTCGGTCCTGCACTGGCAGTGGAAAAGTGCCAAGTATCAAATCAGAGAAAAATAATCGGTGTTTCCACACTGACACCTCTTAAGTAAGGTAATCAGCAGAAATAAAGAGCATTTTAAAAAGGCACTGAGTGCTTTTTAATTGGTCTTTTGTTCAGTTGCAGCCAGACTTGGTCATGCTTGTTGCAGATTGTTCTTGACTATATCGATTCACATAGGAGCAGTCAGACTAACATCCAGTAGTTTTAATCTTGTTTTGAATTTCAGCTTTGTCGGAAATTTCTAGATCAGTATAGCTCGATAATAGTACCTATATGTCTGATGTTCCTGTTAGCATTCTGTCCTGCCCCTCTCCTACCATGAATTTATTAAAAGCAATAACATTTATTTATATAACATTTAATAAAGTAATAACAATAAAATCATACTTAATAATCTAGTGCCTTGGGGCATATAACGCTTATGTGGACTTGGTTATTATGCTGCTGAGTCACTTATGCTGAATTGCATCAGTAAAATGTAATGTGATATGCTTTACATTAACTGCACCTTCATAATGCCTTTATAATGCATTCATAGAACATTCAGTGCACCTTCATAATGCATTCATACAACATTCATAAGCAGGATGTATGTATACCTTAACATCCTAACATACAGCTTTCATATATATTAATAACAAATATTACATGATTATGCAATTAAGTTTGTTACTATAATATGTTTGTTACAAATGCATTATAAAGAAATTATGAAGGTACAGTTAATATAAAGCGTTACCAAATAAACAAACAATTAAGTGCATAATGATTAAATACATAAAGTAACAAATAAATTAATTGATAGATTGACAGATAAGAACCTTAATGACAACACTGCTGTGTGTTGGAACTTACCGCCAACACTTGCTTGAAGCTAGTAATCAGCATAATGAAAACGTCTGGGTTAAATTTAAGGGGGGCCAATAGGAGACCACCTGAGAGACCTTCAGAGTCTGCTTCTTGCTGATGCAGAGAGTCCTGCTGGTCCTCACTGCCGGTTTCCCAGCACCGTATAGAGAATCACCGGTCCACACGGGCCTCCATATTTAATTACTTCCCGGTTATGACATGGCGCCAAACTGACGCGTCCCGTCGAGCTGCCAGATGGCATCGAGTAGCCTCCATATGGAGAACCGCGGGGCCGGGCTGGGAGGGGGGCACTCACGGTGATCCAGTCAGCGCTGGCAGCGACAGGCCCCGCTGCACATGTCCACTGGGAGATAAACTGCCTTGGCTCCGCTAAGATGTAAATCGACGTGGTTTCGCCCAGTGCTGCAACCCCTGCCTTGTGAATAATAATTAATCCAGTGATGTTTAGCTCCTGCTATAGCAACAAATTTTGGGAGGCAATAGTGTCCCCCCCCCCAGCACATGGACGCCAACGGCTCATGATTCTCATTTCCAGCTGGATATGACGCTCGTTACCTGAAATCCTCTGAGAACCATTAAATTAATTACATTTCATTTCGAAGTCTCAAATTCTGCTCCTTCGGGGCCACAAAGTAGCTTTTCTACAACAATTAACAACCTTAATATCTGAGGACTGTTTGCTTCAGTAGAGAGCTTTAAGGGAAAAAAAAAACGCTCTGTGTATTCATAGATGCTATTAGATTTTATTATTTTGCCGCAACATAACCTGTATCTGCATTTAGAATTTTTACAGCTTGTTCGATGTTTCTGTCACTTTATTTCCCAGTGTACAAAATATTGGTACAAGCCAGAAAACAGGCATGGATGGTTGACCCCCAGTTAGAAGCAAACTGCGACTCCACAAAACCATTATGTGGTTGGGTGTCAAAATGTCCCAGCAACACAAGTCATTCAATAAAATCATTTGAATCCCTTTACACTGAACCGCAAATTTATTACCATGACTTGAGGGTGATTTTAAAAAAAGAACAGCACATTTATTTTCCATCTATTGAACAGATGATTGTTAAAAGGGCCTAGTAACTTAGTGACTTGTAGAAAACCATTTATGCAGTTTATTAATATATATATATATATATATATATACACATACATATAAAGCTGAAGCACACAGAAGTTAAAGCAATTAAAGATTTTTAGCTCTGATTGATTGAGAGGAGTGCGGACAAGAAGTGTCGGAAACACAGACAGGTTTGAAGCATCGAACAATCCATCTTAAAGCTCATTACGCCAATGGCCGCTTTTATAAATGGATGCAATAAATCTCGTAAGCATAGCAGGTCTACAGCAAGACAGATAGCTTGTTTCTCTGAAATGGGGGGGGGGCTATGATCAATCAATCCCTATTGCAGGTCTTTTCATTTTTCAGTTTAGCAAAAAACAATTCTCCGTCTAATTGAAGGATTTTAAAGGTTTTTTAAAATCGGGAAAACCCCAAACAAACACAGGGATCCCCCACCACCGGTGTGTGATGTAAGCAGGTAAACACTAAAGGCCAATGGGGAAGCTTGAATATTTCTCGCATTGTGTCAACTCTCAATTTAAAATACGTTTCTGTCGACTGCCTACTACTGGATCCTATGGACACTCAGCTTCAAAATCCCAGCTGAAATATAAAAAACAATGTTGCTGCCAGTTTAAATATATATATATTTTTTTTAAAGTTGCATAGGAAATTGTGCCATTCTAGCATTTGAACATAAAAGGTATCTCTTAACAGCACAGACAGCACCAGTAGCTTGCAGGAACCACTCTAATGAGACAGAGATATAAAGCTGAGGCCAAAGGAAAAGCCCGGAAAGGTTGGTTCTCCCTGTTGTATCTTTAGTTGTATATTACATTTGTCCCATGTGACCACAGAGGATTCGCAACTGTATGTAATTTTATTTGCGTGACATATAAAATTATTAGGGCATACTAGGCATGATATTAGGGCTTGAAACCTCTGGGGCTCAGAGCAGAAAATCCCCGGATACACCCTGGATCCTCCATGCATCTTCCCTGGATACACCCTGGATCCTCCCCGGATCCTCCTCGCATCCTCCCCAGATACATCCTGGATCCTCCTCGCATCCTCTCCAGATACACCCTCGATCCTCCCCCCCATCCAGCCCCCCCGGTTACCCCCAGGATCCTCCCTGGATCCTCCGTGCATCCTCACCACAATCCTGTATTTCCTGTTAGTACCTCACTTTCCTCCTATGCCCTAAAGCAGTGTTTCTCAATCCAGTCCTCAGGAAGCCACAGACAGTCCACATTCTTGCTCCCTGTCAGCTCTCAGCACCCCTAAGAAAAAACAATCAAGAGCATCAAATACCTAAAGTAGGTGTGCTGGGGGCAGGGAGGGAGCAATAATGTGGACTGTCTTGGGGTCCCGGAGGATTGGGCTGATGGACACTACCCTAAAGGCACACGATTCAAGTGAACTAGTCTCTCTTGTCACACTTAGTTTAACATGTGCGAGTAACTTGCAATGGACCTGCTCCTAAAGGTTCCTGAGAATACCGTACAACCAGTCATCCTAGTATTAACTGGGACTAATAGATACTAGTTGAGTTGCCAGGGGCTACTTGTGCGTTGAAAGAAGGAAGGCAGGCAAATTTTTCCTATTAATTTTTGATCCCATCCCTGGCCAGCCCCCTTAAACTCTGAAAAGGGCCACCCCCCTTAAACTCTGAAAAGGGCCACCCCCCTTAAACTCTGAAAAGGGCCACCACCCTTAAACTCTGAAAAGGGCCACCCCCCTTAAGCTCTGAAAAGGGCCAGCCCTTTCCCTAATAAATGCCTTTCGTGCTTCCCAATGCCTGTATCACCTTGTTCTGTTTCCTGCCTGTCTAGTCGTGAGGCCTGAGGGATTTTTTACAAGGACATTTAGCTGAAAAAAATCATTAAATACCACTGAGGTTTACAAAGTCGGATGATCAGCAAACAAATCATGAAAAGTCAAAAGGAGACAAAGCAAATGTCCAGATGTTTCCTTTACTCACGTCTCCATGGCGTCCTCCTGCAGGACCGTCTGCACCGGTAGGTACCCCAGGCGGGGATGTTTGGCGAAGTACTTCTTCGATCGAAACTTATTTTTCAGCACGGTGGTGAAATCGCGCATGTCCTCCCCAGAGGTCGTCTGAAAGGTAAACAGGCCATTTTCCAACAGACTCTTTCCATTAATTAAAAACAAGGATGATTCCCCAGAAGCAAAACTCACATGCAAAGCTGCCATTTTGCTACCAGTTTTATATCGGCCCTTTCTATTTTTCTTTTATTCTTAATAAATATATATTTGTTGTAGCTTAGCTCCCTTCCTGTTACATTCTGGACTAAATTAAATGTTAATAATGTAGCAGTGGGCCAGCAACACAAATATTGATATTTGCGTTTCAGCCTTGCCCGAAATTGCTTAATCACCTCTGAAGGTATGACCTCATAAGACAAATTACAATAACCACACTATGTAAGCAAAGCGAATCAATCTTTGTATCTTCAGAGATATCTTTCTGTGCTCAGACTCTGTGACACGGAGTGTCATCGTACTGGAAGGAACACATTTCTTTCTTCACAAAACTTATGCTTGATTCAGTCTACTGGTCCGTTTTATCATGATACTGAAAATGTGAAATGGGTTTATCAGAGGGGGAAAAAAAACTAATTTCAGAACAAATAGATAAATGGCTAAAAAAGTTCTTGAATTATGGAAGGAGATATTTCATCATCATCATCATCATCATCATCATCATCATCATGCAGTGCACTGGTTTCATGTCCAGAATGTCCTCTGCCTTGTGCCCCGTACTTCCTGACATAATCCATAGCCATGACTTTGCACTGGATGAGCAGTTCTGGACAACAGATGAATATTATTAATAGTGGTGGTAATAATAATAACAATGATAATAATAATAATAATAATAATAATAATAATAATAATAATAAATGTCTTTTTTATTATTGATCCCTGTGGAGAAAATTCTTCTCATGCCTGTAGATGAGAGCAAGCTAGCTGTAATGGGTAGCCACCCATAGCAGTGCCCAGGGAACTAGGGGCACTGGTAATGGCTAATAGCTAATGATACTAGATAAAGATTTGAGAGTGCTGAAATTTTAAATCTCAGGGAGGGTTCTGTTTTAGTGCTTTACAGATTTATTACTGTGATTTATCAGCCACTGCCTACATATATTACAGTTTTGTGTTGCTTTTTGCACTGTCTGTATTGTTTCGCACTGTATTTTTTCATACATTTGTGTATTGTTTTGCACTGTCTGTATTGTTTTGCACTGTCTTGAATTGCTTTTGCACTGTCTATATTGTTTTGCACTGTCTTGAATTGCTTTCGCAGTGTCTGTACTGTTTTCTCACTGTCTGTATTGCTTTGCACTGTATTTTTTCATACTTTTGCATATTGTTTTGCACTGTCTGTATTGTTTTGCACTGTCTTGAATTGCTTTCGCAGTGTCTGTACTGTTTTCTCACTGTCTGTATTGCTTTGCACTGTATTTTTTCATACTTTTGCATATTGTTTTGCACTGTCTGTATTGTTTTGCACTGTCTTGAATTGCTTTCGCAGTGTCTGTACTGTTTTCTCACTGTCTGTATTGCTTTGCACTGTATTTTTTCATACTTTTGCATATTGTTTTGCACTGTCTGTATTGTTTTGCACTGTCTTGAATTGCTTTCGCAGTGTCTGTACTGTTTTCTCACTGTCTGTATTGTTTTGCAGTGTCTTGTATTGTTTGGTACCGATTTTCGACTTTTGTAACAGGCCCTTAATTAGAGATTGACGTGGACGGTGGGAGTTGGTGGCAGCCCCACGGAGGACTCACAGGGGTGCAGTACTCCACCATGGGGTAGTTCAGCTTGTGGCCCTTGGCCGTCCGGCCGGAGAAAAAGCAGCTCTGACACACATCATAATTGAAGTGCTTGAGGCTGCGGTACCTGTGCAGATGGGGCACAAAGTCAGGTTTCGTGCTTTACGTAAGAAAATGGCAGTTTTGCCTACAGGAAAGTCAAAGCAGATCCCAAATCTATATACTGTTCCCACTATAGGAGAGGGACCTTAAGAGAGCTTAGCAGACCACAGTCATAATCATCATGCTTCTATTATGATTATTTAACAGAAGACCATTAACAAAAGTATTCTAGTTAGACCCATCATTTTGTGACTTCTGAATAAATTTTAAACAGTTCTTACGCCAAAAATAAAAGGTAAAAATATTCACATGGAATATTTAACATGGTATAATTAAGATGGGGAGAGTACTGGAGGAATTTCAGTCCCTATTCTTCCCACATGTCACCACCCCCTTCCCCTTCCCAGCAGCCCCCACAGTTTTCACATTCTTGATGGGCGCGGCTCGGTCATCGGGCTGACCCCTAGGGGCCACTGGCCATCCCAGATGTGTACCTGAGGCCCACAATGGGAAACTCCTTACAGATGTTGCATTTGGCCTGGTGTTTGGCCGTCTCGGCGGCCGCCACGCGATGGAGGACCGGTAACCACACCATGGACTGTGGTTCCAAGCGCATCCATTCCACAAACTGAGCGGGTTCGATTCCCATCTCTCCTTTCACCTGCAAGGGTGGAGAAACACACACTCGATCCTTCCCTGTTGGTCATGTGGACAGAGAAACATCAGCTATCTGGGGTGTGGGGGGGGGCAGTAGGGAGCCCAGGTGAGAAGGGTCGCATGTCATGGGATCCCGGTTGAAGTAATTATGTTCCAGACCCAATAATTATTTGTGGTGGGCCTGGCAACTGCAATAGAAGACCACCAGCGTCAATTCTCATTCACGCTACAAACATCCCCCTAGGTCAATCATACAAAAAACACACCTAAAGCATGCCTCTTTCATCCCAATAAGATACTCCCTCACCCAATCCCAATAAGATACTCCCTCACCCAATCCCAATAAGATACTCCCTCACCCAATCCCAATAAGATACTCCCTCACCCAATCCCAATAAGATACTCCTTCACCTCCACCCATGGTGATTAAGTTGGAGATATTAACTAGTCTGAAAACAGGGAAGGATTCCCCAACTGAGCCGGGCAAGGACATCTCTGTTTAACATCTTGCATGTAGAATCGCTTCCGTACAGTAGAACAACGTGGAGACCTTTTCAATTCAAGTCCGGCTGCTTACGTGGCAGGCTGACACTCATACAATTACACAGTAATGAATCAATTACACCAGGATAATAAATCACTGGGCCAAAGGCACAATCTCTTCATTACATGGTACATTAAATGATACGTACTCCCATACGACGTGCCAAAACAGAGTAAGTGAGAGCCACCTATGGTCAAGGACTAGATGGAGGATCTGTCTGGTTTATAAATGCTCTCTCCGGCCTTCAAGGATCCAAATATATGAAGGAGATCAGAAGGAAGTATTTTTGGACACAAGGACAAAATTTATTGCCCATTTAATTCTGAGCTTCAAATACGCGAAAACGTGACTCAGGACTATGAGATTTTTATAACCGTACTTTAATCACATACTTTGTTACATGGAATTGTTACCCTTTGAGCTAAATTCAAATGATGTCCCAACGTTTGTACTAAGTCATGTGGGGGATTTCTCGTAAGTGCCTTGGCCAAGTCCGGCACCCGTTCGCGCTTGGCTAGCGTGGCCTCGACAAGCGTACGTGCTGGAAGCAGCTGCGGACACTGGGCACGATGTTGCTCCCCCCGAAGGCCGCCACCTCTCCCAGTTGCCGCGGGATCTGGATGACATCCTGCAGCAGCATTCCCAGCTGCCTTTGGTCACAGGATCCCTCCGGGGAAGCCACTTGCCGGAACAAGTCTGGGACACGCCAACCGTGCAGAATTTCACGCCAAAAGATATAAAAACAAACATGAGGAGTCAGAGTCAGCAAGATGAGCAGGACTAAGTGAGGTCCAACATCGTCAAAAGATGTCAACGTTGAATGATATTGATTTAGAGGCAGTTCAGCCTCTAAAGACTATACAACAACCATTTACTGTTACTCAGCTTTCACTCTCTATTAGTATAGTTATTTGTAGTATCATGCAAGTACAGGAATGTTAATGCTAAGGTCTTCTGAGGTCTTTTAAGGGCGCTGGGTTGTGGAGAAGAACGAGGCAGCTCTAAAAATATCTTTAACCTCCACATATAACAAGACTGGACATGCTATTTCTATACGCTCTGGCAAAATACAGTGTTTTGCATAGAAGGTGATTTGCATCGAGAAATGTTATAATTACAGAGTTGCAAATACAGTGTAAGAGAAGTAATGTACATCGGCATTATCTTAGACTAGAGGTAAGGAACATGCTGAAGCCGGTTAGCTCATACACAATGAAGGGTATTGATTCCTCTGCAGTGGGTGTCAGTCACGGCAGTCTGACGGGCAGCGTAAAAACCGCGCGGTAAGGTGCAGCCGCACTGGAGCTGAACCGAATATAGCCCTGTTCTTCATAGGAGGCCTCTAAAGGTGTCAGGCCTTGTTACACAGTGATATGTGTGATTTCTCCCCTTGGTCCCGACGTGCCGACCAAAAACAGCACTCAGAGGGATAATTCTTCTGTTGCATTGGACATTCTTCCAGCTGGAATTACTTGGAAGTTACATATAAAGTAGCCATGACTATCATATCTGCACAGACTGTTTTAACAGTTCTGTTAGTGTGCGAGTTATATTCTAGGTAGACTATGCTACATATTACTGTTTTTGGCATATATTTAATATTTCTAAACAGCTTTACATTTTTATAATACCTGTAATATATTCTTAATTGAAACTAGTTTAAATAATTGTTAAAAGTAAAACAAAACTAGCTAGACACAAAAAGCTAGAAAAAAACACTAAAAGACAAAGAGAAAAACCACATTTCATTTTGCACTGAATGATGATAAAATTGTTACATATTCAGGAGACAATACAATAATTTAACACATTAGGACGGACGGATGGAAGACCCAGAGCTTTGTGTATACTTGCATTCATATTTGTCTTCCAGATGCCCTTGGGAGAGAGACAGCAATCCAATTTTCATTGAGAGCGCTTGAATCGTCCCACTCCGACCTCTACAGAAAACATAGCGAAAACATCAGCTTACTAATTAGCAATGCCTGGTTGGTTATTCAGGCTTCTGGATTCATCTCCAGCAGTTAACAACATTTGGCAGGATGATACTGTCATAATCTCTCTATGGGCATGTCAGTTTCATTTTCTACTAAATTTTTGCAGTACTGCACCACAATATTGGGTAATACTACACTTTTAATAGTTCCTCATTTTTCTTGTTTTTAATAAAAATGTTGACACTTGAATTCTATTACAGTCATTTAGTTGTTTGTGCTCTGAATGGCAAGCCAGCATAGACGCACATGTCGTAAACATTGAGAAGCCAGTTGAGACACAAATCCACGCAGAGAGGGATGTCGACCAGTCCCCCGTGGCTTTTCCCCAGCAGGTGATATATACTGGTCAGGCAGCTGATGACGTCAGGCACGTCTAACAGCCTGCCATTTCTGAGCTTATGCTGCTCGAAAATCTTCTGGGCTGTGCTCAGGTCCAATAAATCAACTGAAAGGCAACGGACAATGGCATTGTTTATTTATACACAGACAAAATGTGTGAGATGAATCTGAATGCATGACCTACAAAATGCATTCATTTCTTAAAAAAAAACCCATCACCATCAATATTTCTGTTACTTAATTGTAGGTCTGTAGTTTCCTCAAAACTATTGATCAACAAACATTTCCAAACGGACAGCATCATCCTAAATGACTGCATTTGAAGGTAATATTGAGCAGGCCTTCCTGTTTTGAAGCATTGACATTAATGGGAAACAAGGCATTTGGAAAGCCATACAGAACATCTGCACCTACCTGGCCTTTACGTCATGCAATTGTTGCCCTTTACACTAAATTCAAAACAGCAGAGTGAGAGCAGAAGGATAATTGACTCTGTTGGTTCAGTGGCAACCTTCGCCTATAAATCTCGTTCCTTTGCCTCAGAGGGATGATGAATGCATCATTGTAAGGATTGTAAGTCATTTCCAAGCTAGAGTCTCTACAAAGCAAGCCAGTATAGCCATGAATAAATATGTTCTGCTTGAACAGAGGACCACTTCTTTGTTGCTTTGTTTGGGTCTATAAAAGGGGACTTTTAGTCTGTTGCTACATAAGACTAAAGTTTTTTTTCCTTTATTGGGATGCAACAGCTGTGTTCAAATAATATATTCTTTATATAACTATTGTACATATATACTAACCAGTGATCAAAGTGTAGACCACAGTATGCAAATGTGAAACAGAAAACAATAAAAATACTTCTGTTTTTTACCAACAAGTAAATTTTTTGTGTAAGTCAATGAAAAGCAGAATCAAACAGAATTAGGATAAGATGGACCAATCATTTATGCTACTTTAATGTATCTAAAAAGGATAGAGAGGTAGACTGGCCCTCACACTACCCTTCATGGCTGCCTAAACCACATTGTGTATCCCGACGCAATATGAGGTTTGATTGAGTCTGTTTAATTACACAGCCTATTAAATTTTAAATTTATAGTGAAGAGGCGAGATAGGCTGCTAATTGAGATAATTGGTTAATCTGCAACAATGCAAGTCGGTTTGGGACACAGACATGGATTTGTAATAATGCAAAGGAGGAAACAAGACCAGCAACACTACCAGGAAGAGAACAGCAAAATAAACCACACAGCCCGAAATGGATACCTTAATCAAGCCTGAGTTAATCAAAAGAAAGCTAATTAGTAGTTTTTTTTCATTCAAAGACTCTTCATGCATGGTTACAGTAGATCTGGAGTCGATCCCAGTTATACATCGAGGGGATTTTGGACTTAAGTCTCTTTGGACAGCAGCAAGAAACTCACACACACAGAGCTGAGATACGAGGCTACAAGATCACCCACTGTGCCACCCAAAGGCTGGATTCAAACTCTCAGCCTGAACTGTAGGGCAAAAGGGTTCATTCCGACAACAAAGAGCAGGTAAGAAACAGCAAGCTAAGGAAGTTCTGTTTCCAAACAGAAACTCCTTACATCTTTATCTTAAATGGTCTTCTGAGAAGGCCTTACTGATACATACGAACTGGGCTACTTTCACACCAACTCAGACCTATCACAGTGTGATTTATAATACAATTAAGTCGATTTAATTAAATATTTTAACAGCCTCCATGCTGAATGGAATAACCCCACCAAAAAAATCCCTCTAGATAACTGAATAAAGCAAAACATGACCATCAATATTGTAGATGGTGGAGAAGAAAAAAACGTAGATGAGCATAAATATTGTAACATTGTCTAACGCTGTAGAGTACAACTTATAATGGAAGTAGGCAATTACAAACCATTTCTGAATCACTGATATGTTCTTTTATATACATATATAATTAAAACTACAAACAAGCACATTCTTCTGGACTAGCTACTTTAAACGAAGAATAATAGAATGTTTTTTTTTTTATTTGAAATGATTAATGATTATCTGAGGGTCATTAGTCCTCAAACAATTAAGTAACTAAAAGACCGATTAAATGAATCACTAAGTCACTCTGATTTCTTTAACCCTTCCCAGACTTTAAAGACATTTTATAACCAAAATCAATTCTATGCAATACAAGAACAGCCACATGTAATTTTACAAGGCATATAATTGCAATTAAAGTTAATTAATTACAAGTTCAGCTGGAATAAAATCGCCATACCTTCTGCCCATAGAGGTCTATAATTATTATATTTTAACAGCACAACTATAATTGTAAAACTTCAGTCCTATAATTAACGGAATTAGCATTTTTCCTAACATCTAAGGTGGAAACATGGACCGGAATTCAAGGTTATCATGTAAATATAATAAAGTATAGTAACTCAGATTGAACGAAACAAAGAAACGAAAGAAACAAGAGTGACAGACAGTGAGGGAAACAGCACTGGAAATGAAAAACCCATGTATAACAAACATCAAATAACATCCTACGTGCGTAATACAAGGAATACACAGTGCATTAATACCATTAACAATGTGTGTTGATGAGCAGGGCCGCCACTGAGCCCAGAAGATTCAGTCTGTGTCCTTTTTCAGAGCCCCATGGCTGGGTGACTAATCCAATATTCAACAGTCAAACAAACTGAAATGGCAATGACCTGAAAAAAGGACTTTTGCCCAGACCAGCAGGGGATCCAGCAATACCTTTTCCCCATGATTTTATTCAGGTTAAACCCTTTGCAAAATAAATATTTCACAGAACAGCGATTGGGTCCCCTAAGACTAAGAATACATGTACTAGCCATGCATGAAAAGCTTAATGTCTTTCCGCAACTTTTTTTGTTGTCTGGATGGTAATTAGAGGAATAATTTGCATTGCTTTGCTTGAGCCGCACATTTAAACGTGTTGAAGCCACTGCTGGGAGCCTAACGACAGCTGCCGCAAGGTCAGAGTCAAGCTTATGCTTCTTACCGAGCTGTGACAAGTACTGCAAAGTGAATGGCTGACAGTGAATATTATGTTCATCATAATATTACTGGTTTATTAAAAATGTAAATAAAAAGACTTTAATAAGGACAGGTAAACTTTGTATAACTCTCAACACTGTCAAGGATGGGGGGGTCGGGGGGGTGCATGCAGTAACTGATGCCTCGGGGGACGAGAATAACCTCCGAAACCACGTTAGACAGCGGCGATCACTTACGGCACAAGGTCCTCTGCACTCGCCGGCTCTTCATGGCGGTCCGGTAGGCCGAGAAACGCACATTGTTCAGGTTGGCTGGTCAGCAGAGCAAACGTTAAATAATTAGGCAGAATGTGAAAGGAATATGCTTACACACACAAAAGAAAATACACGCAAAAATATGGTACAGTTCCTAAAAACAGTCGACAGTTCAAATGGGAATATTTTAATATAAGCATGGCTATACAACAAAATTTGACTTCAAATGACTAACTTTACATTAGGTTCAATCACAACACACTTCTCTGTTTTTTGGTGCTTTGTGGACCCAACAGCGTTTGTTTTCTGAAAGACCACGATGCATGACAGTGCTTTTAAGAGAGAAAAGAGAAAAAATACCTAGTGAACGATAGAGCTCTGTCATTTTTGGATGATCCCAGCAGGTTGTTTGAGTCTCATGGCTGTAAAAAAATAAACAGATAAACTCATGAAAGTAAGCTTTTACTGCAATCATACTTGGTGGCTGAATTCTAATTACTTTTTTACAAATGCCATTATATATTTAATTAATGAAAAAAAAGCAATTAAATACTTTTGATCTGCAAATCCGTATTCAATCAATTGCAAAATTGCCTAAAATGCCATGGGTACCATCTTCATGCTGTATAATGCCTAGATTCTTTTTTGTTATATTTGTTTTGTTCATTTTACTGTCTTCTCAGAGTAAAATCAGTCCTCTCCTTCTCTACAGGAAGCCATCCACGGCGACAGAACAACATCTGCTGTTTCCTGCTTGACAAGCCTGAAATCAAATAATCAGCAGTCTCACAATGAGCTCTCTGATATCGCCTCATCACCCAGTTTGCAGTTCACTAACAGAACTCCTGCACTGAAGAACTTCACATAATTATCCATTTTAAAATACTGATTATTATTAGATATAGTCCTTTCTTTCTTAGTCTTTCAGAATTTGTGTTTTTTTATTTTTTTTTACTTAGTTGTATTTTATTAATGTTTGGTTAAGTTTTAAGGTTGTGGTTGTGACAAGGAATAGTATTTTTCTCCTTTACAGATCAAATGTTCCTTATTAAAGTCTTTTAGATTAAATGATGCTGATGCTGACCAGTGAAAAGGGCTCTGTAGACCTAGACAGGTGTTCATCAATATTTACTGGCTTCCCATTTGTCTTGGGCGTTTACTGAACACAACTCGCAACTTCTGAAATGCGTTTAAGTCACTCACTATGGAGACGCACAATTTATTTGTTTGTTTGTTTGTTTGTTTATTTAATAAAACTGAGCCCGTTAGCCGGTTGAGCCCGTGTATTATTCCCTAAAATTGACTGGATGTGGTTTACCTGCGGGTCACGCCATTCGAGGGACAATAAAGATTAAGAGACGACTGATCAGTGCAATGTGGCTTAAAAGGTAAATAATGCAATAAAGGAACGATTTCACAGAGCAACAGCTGCACACAAGCAGACAGGTGGAACCCTAGTGTCTTTGTGCTAACTTACCTGGCCCCTATATTATTATTATTATTATTATTATTATTATTATTATTATTATTATTCAACCCCTCAGTCCATCGTCCATAACCACCTATCCTGCACTGGGTCATGGCAAGCATGAGCCCTATCACAGGAATCATTGGGCACAAGCCAGATGTTCAAGATTAAGACTAAAGTTAGGTTTATCGATCCCAGGGGGACATTCTGGAAAACTGAAGTTCTAAGTCAGGTTCTCCAATCATTACACCAAGGAACAGTTGGTGGTAATAGCAGTAGTAGCAATAGCACAGCAACATTATCTTGGTAATTAGGTAAACAAGTGTTTAAATAGTCCATTAACTGACACATTGCTATTGTAGCCATTTTCACTCACAGGAAATGATTTGCAATCATTTCTCTGATGCGCCATATCTGTCCTCTTAAGCATCCTCCATAAAACATCCTCAGATCTTAAAGAAAAACCATGCTAAACATTGTTTAGACAATACTGTTTAAACATATGCTTATTTTCTTCGCAACCATACACCTTAAAACGATCCCAGTTTGTAGAAGTGGAAATGGTTAATGGTAAATGCACAATAGCATTTGCACTTTCAGGACCAGTATGTTGCAACCGACCAGTTATACGTCACAAACACGGTTATCCTTCCCACTGCACGCATCATCTTTGTAGGTCAATGGTAATCTGTGAAATAGCATGAAGTGTGAAATAGCTCAGTATTTACAGTATAATACCAACAGGATTATTTTTTTCTAAAGGACATTATAAGATATTTAAAGATTTGTCTGTTGTCAGTTTCTAAAAATAACTTTATATTTTATTATATGTATATTTTGTTCTAATATGTGAACACAAAACCTGAAAATGTTTGTGGTCATGTCATCTTCCTGTGTATTTTATAAGAGTATCTCAATGAGAACAAACGTTTCTGGGACCTGTTTTTACATTTTTAAATTTCAGACATCATTATAAACAAGTAAAATAGTACACATAAGAAGATTCACATTACACTGCACGGAACCTCTATTCAGTAATAGTAGATGCTAAACAAACTTTATTTGTGATGTCATCTGGGTAAACTCAAATGTTCTTAAGACACGGCCAACTTAATACAGTTCATTCGGTTGATTTAGAGAGAACAAGTCTTAATGTCTTCTACCCAGGAGACAAACAAATGTCTAATCTACTTTAGTGTCTAAATCATTGTCCTACCTGAAACAGCTTTATCTCCTACATCCCAGAACTTAGTTACACCACAAGTATCTAATTTATCGAAGGTGAACACAAACATGAAGGTACAATTACATCTTAAATGTAAGCAAGCAGTGTTTAAGCCAGCAGTCTGCTACTCCGCTTATTGTCTTTGTGTCATGGAAATGCAACAGGTCGACTGACAACTGAAGGTAACACAGGGAAGACAATGTTTTATTTAATGCTTAGAATGCGCTGGGGCAATATTACATTGTTGTTTTTGTGTGTTTCTGATGCTGGGGGTCACCCAAATTAATATGGCTGATATGCTTATAGAGGTCCTTTTTAAATTTATAGCCAATTTTATTGCAATCATTTCTCATTTTGGCGGCAAGAAGCAGGATCCATTCCAGACCTCTGGAGCCGTGGGGTTTGCTAGTTTTCAGAATCAGCGCTAAACCGCTCCCTTCAATATGATGTTTTGGAGTGTGAGTTGCATCGGCTGACATGCTATGTTTAAATGGAGTGGTAACTGACAGACTCTAACAGTCCAAGGGATCTTTCAGCAGTAGAATTGTCCACCGTAGATTTAAACTGTGAGATCTTAACCTGAATGACGTTTTTTTTCTGCTTCAGAGGAATTCTCAGTTCTGTTGTAAAAGCAAGGTCAAAAGTTTAATCTAATTAAATAAATGGACAATTAAAATTAAGGGTACATTTGGATTTATATATCTGAGGAGTGACACATGAGGTAGATCTAAGCATTTGGAGGTAGTATCTGAAGTGCTTTTTATGACTCCTACAAGCATGAGAACAACAGCTATTATTGCCGGCTGAGATGTCCTCAGATCAAACGCTGTAAGACTTTGACATTTTCCTTTCATGTCTACCTTGTAATCCGGGGGAAAATTACACAGGAGATAAATCTGGGAATAAATATGATCTGTCGCCTCGCTTCTGCCCAGCGGAGCACGACACGCGATGGAAAGACTTGTGGAGGAAAGCTGAAATCATCATAAATCTTCATTTATGGACACTGCAGAAAGACTGCTTTATCCACTTCTTTATGAATTATGCACAACCTCGCTCCCGGCACCCTCCCAGACTAATAAGTAAATAAATAACACATAAACAAAAGGGAAAGTGCAAATGGTCTATCTGCAAATATACCCTAATTCTTTTTATAGCACGTCTTAAATTAAATAGGCGTTCTACTGCCTTAGGAGTTTTTTGCGGAGTCTGCTGTGGAATATTATACAATGCCCAGCATTACGGCTCTTGGCCTGCAAAGTCGATCGACAAACAAGGCCAGCCTTGGCCGTTACATGCCCCGTCTTAGCTCTGTGTTTTTTTAGATCTTGAAGATTTCCGTGGTGTGTCACAGCTCGAAAAGTTGATGCTAGCCTTGGGCTCACGTTCCTCAACAGAAACATTGTGATTTATGGCCTTTGCTTGCACTGAATGCCTCCTCTCTCCGTCCCATTATCGTCCCCTTCAGTCCCCTCCTGCACATTTCACCGCCCAACCGAGGAAGAGTAGAATATAACTCACTTTATGTAGTAAGGGACCTTGTTTGGGGAAACTGCTCTTTGCCATGGAAGTTGAACGGAAGCTGAGGGAAAAAAAACAACAAAAAAGTGCAAGCTACATAAAACAGGAAATTATTACTCAGCAAAAGACGACTAGGACAGATTATACCATGCATTACGCATTATGCAGAAATGCAACGTCTTAGAAAATGAGCCACTATGACGATAACGTGAATAATTTGAAATGCAACCGTTGCGTTCGCCTGCAGGGCACGGTGGGAATGTGTTGCCTTGACAGGGTTGGGTAGTTTGTCACGGCTCTGGCTAATGGCATGAAGACATAATCTAAATGAAATAAAGCTTAATTCCCAGAATAAGAGTCTGAAGATCAGTCGGGAATTAATGCGAAACCCATTAAAAGGCAGAAACCCATGTCAGTCGCTACGGCCACTAAGATGCTAACAAGTTCGGTATTTACAGCTGAAACAGCATTCTGCCTCTTTTCTCTTAATCTCGCTCTGTCGGTATTGTGGTATTTATATCCCGGGTGAATAAGATTAGCCAGGATGTTGCAAGACCAAATCCAATGAAGGTTAAAAGCCACTACAAGGAGCACAATGATAACACAGAGATGAGGGGGGAGTGATTCGTCAACTGCAGCTTAATGATCATTTCATCACCATCTGAAGTATTGGAAGCTGAATTATTAACAAAGCAGAAGAGCTCACTTTGCTCAGGTTTCATTTGTGTGCTCAGCAGAGTATAAATATAAAGAAAACACATTTAAAAATCAAGCTGATTAATAATGCAGAAGAAGATACAGCAAAGACAGGAAGTCCCGACAGAAGGATTCCTTACTGGACAGGAAGTGCTGAGATGAGGGTCCCGTGTCCGGAAATACGCCAAATCGCTCCTCCATGGCCACCTGTTGACCATAAGTCAGACTGCCTTTTACAAGTGCACCATCTAGCAATATTTGGATATTCCAAGAAAGCTCTTCATACTGAAAACAGAATTTCAAGAAGTTAAATAATAATCTGAATCAGTCATTTTTTAACCAGTTTATATTCATTTATTTGTGTGTGTGGAATTTGAGGCCTTTTCACACTAAATTATACTTTTTTTCTGGTGCTTAACAGTGAATCTGGACTGGAAATAGCTGCCATGAGGACAGTGTGTTCATGGGGACACATAAAGTCTAAAAGTCGCTAAAGCAGATAAAGGCCATGGACTTTACAGTGTAGGTGAGCGCAGTATAAACTCTTGTGTCAGCAACTCTCTGGCGGGCTGAAATGCTCCTCTAATTGCTCCTTTAAAGCATTCACAACTAACTTAGCTTTCACTCATGGAGTGAAAGTTTTGCTTACACAAAAATGTACTGAGGGCAGAAAGGAAAATAGATCGGTTCAGAGAGACAACCAATCAGATTAGAGAGGAGATGGGTCCAAGCAACTACAGAAGACGGGACCAAGCAATCAGATGTTTTGCTCCCACTTCCTCTAGTTGCTTGGATCTACCTCCTCTACAATATGATTGGTTGTCTCTCTAATCATTTTTTCTTCTGCCCTCAGAACATTTTTGTGTAATTCAAACTCCCACGAGCTTAGCTATCACTCCTTATATTTCCTGGTAGCTGACGATATATGACCAAAAAATGGCCCCTAGCAACAAGGGTCCTTGGTATGTTGAAAGCAGGTTTCAGAAAGTAAAGAAAGCCCAACCCCTAAGCGTTTTTGTTCCGTTATCCGAGTTTTGGTCTTGGGCGTGTAGAGGTCAGGGATATGGCAACCGGAGGCGTCCGGAGCGAATTGGTCACACGGGTGTCGCTTTTTAGGAAAGCAGCTTAATTACCGGTGTCCTCCAGAAGAACTAATCGATGGAGGCACTCAATAAACCTGCACGCCGGAACCCCGGAAGAGAGCGAAGAGTCAAACCTCGTCAGAGCACAATGCAAGGGCATTCAGTGGAGACAGCTCTAAGTCTTTCATTAGGGATGCCAGGCAAAGCCATCTGTGCCGGCAATTTAGAGGGAATTTAAAACAGATAATTTCTTCCTGTTAAAATCAAGGCCCAGGTGGAAGAGAGGGCATGGAGGGGGTAAATGCAAAAATTCGGAAATGGTAACTCTCTTTAGGATACCAAGGACCCGTGGGAGGGCCAAGCTTTTTGTAGATTTTGACAGTTTTTCCACTATACTTTTTTAGACTTTTTCCCCTATACCATGCTATACCAATCAGGATGTAGAGGATTAAAAAAAAAATCAAAGGAGGAACTTTCCACACCTGTATGAGTTTCCAGTGCATACCGAGGTTACTGAGTCTGGACGTGTTTTGGGAGAGCAGAGCTCCGAGGGCTGGGAGATGGCTGGGGCTGCTCTTCGAAAGCATTGCGTCAGATTCCAGAGGTGCGATTTCCTCCGTGAAGACCTGATAGAATCAGACAGTACTGAGTGAGCGAAAGTCTGCTATTGTCTGAATGTTGAAAGTGCTATGTGTCTCCTATAGGAAAAGCTCATACTGTTATATTAAACCTAGACCTGGCTTCAGCACTCACAATAGTCCCCTGAATTTGGTCCAGTAGGGATGCAATGTCCCCCACGGGCTTCCCGGCTTCTCGTGGGTCCTGTGACTGTTGCCTGGTCGTCCCTTCGCTGTCCTGCAGCTTCTCCAAGGCTTCCTCCATGTTCCTCTGCCAGCCGTCCACCCGGCCGCTGAGGATCTCCCAGCACTCCCGCACCGCCTCGACCCGATGGCGGACGACCTCGGCCGTGAGCCGCGCCAGCTCCTCCCCTGCAGCCTCTTAAGGAAGCAGGGGAGGAGCTGGTACACGGCTCAACTTGGAAAATTACGCTCATTAGCCCCATTAGCCCACTGCGGGGCCGCTTAGCAGTTAGCCAAAGGCTAACTGTCTGCTCTTCCTTCAAACAGCCTCTGATGTTGTAATACTTCTGCTCACCATCACCTTACATTAAACCAGTCACTCTGCCCCCCCCCCCACGACTCCTAGTGTAGTGACTGTCTGTGGCCAGACCTTGGGGACCTCATGCAAATGCACAATTTAGGCGGGGTGGCAAACACAGCCAATGATTAAATAATTACCTTTAATATATATTTACCTTTAATTAACAGATGAAATATGCCTTCCATATTAGAATTTAACCTTTTATTACTATTCTCTACTATAATATTCTAGAATATTCTAGCTTCATTGCTCAGGAAAAAGCATACTTAAGGATGAAGCAGTAAAAACAATCTGCGACTGGGTGTGTCACATGATGTCATTGTGTTTTCGATGGTCACATACATTCCTCGCAGGCTGACATCCCAGGCCGAGATCTACATCCCAAGAAAACGCTACATCCATGCCACCGAAAGCCTGACAGCACGTTCCACCAAAGTCAGTGAAGCTGCGCTTCCCGGAGTCAATGAAGTGTGCCATCAACATGCTCTGATTCACGCCCCTGAAAATCCAACTCCCTCTCCACTTGACAGCACAGCCTGCCTGCATTAGGAGTCAGGACTTTGACTGGCTAAATTAAGAAGCCCCCACTGCTGTAACCTTAAGAAGAAAGACAAAATTCACAGCAAGAATCTTGCCCGTTAGCTCATTTTGAAGGATATACACAGCATTAGTGTCACATTTGCATAACTTTACAATTCGTATTAACCGTGTGAAAATACATTCATTCCAAAGCAGTATCACTCAAGGACACAGTAGTACGAAATACATCAGCGTTTCCTGGCACCACCAGCCAATCGCTCACCGCGTCTGGGTGTGGAGCTTTCCCATGGCTTACTTGCTTCATCCACAGCTTGGTCGGCCAGTAGCGTGCAGGCCTGGTCCAGTATACTGACCAATACATGCTCATACTTCACCAGCTTGGTCCTCAGGGCCTGTAAGTGGTGTGAAATTTCGTGATATTAGAACGTGAACGATTAAAACATCTCCACGATCTGCCTTTACGGAGAGATCGTTAATATCGTTCTACAGTACGCATTCTATCAGTGGCAGTTCAATGGCCATACACGCATCTAAAGCTGTTTCGTCAGCCAAATCCATTTCAATACGCCAATAAACCGGTGACAGCAAACAGTAGGTATTGCCTGGGATTTCTTCCTCTCTCCCTTTCGCACCCTCATACCAACATGCAACACATTCCGTATCTGGCGACGCAGTGGCCTGGACGTCATGGAAGAGTTGGTCCCTAGAAAGAATGCAACATCAGTCATTTGGAACTTGTTTGAATTTTTCAAGACTGACACAGAGTAAATGACAGCTATTTGCAGAACTTGCGAAGATCAGGTTCACACGTCGGATGGCAGCACGACAAACGTTTTTTCATCAGCGCAAAAGAAAACACCCAAAAGAGTATGCTGACAGTGAAACAGCGAGGGGAACTCGTGCGAGTGCATCAGCTGCTACAACCACGCGGTAACATGCAAAATAGTGTAAAAAACAGACATGAAAAAGAATCGTGATAAGATCGTGGGTGGTGATCCTGTCTGAAAAACATCGTAATACAATATTTTTGCCATATCGCCCACCTAACCATATATAAAGGTTATCACTGAGCGAAGCAGGGGCCCCACAATCCTGATTTTGGCAGCTCAGGGTAAAGGAAGATAAATATTCTAATTAAGCATGAAAATACTCCCTGAACTTCATAGGCTGATAAATTTAATTATTGGTAGAAACATTGTTAACAACAAGTAGCAAGCTGGAAATCTCGCAAAGAAACTGACCTGACCAGACTTGGCCTGAGGAATACCTGTAGCAAGGTAAATACTGCCCAAAATTCAGTATTTATAAATACACTGTACTACTACATCAAATATATAATAATAAGGCTTTTAGTGTTCTACAGTAATAATAATAATAATTATTATTATTATTATTATCCTTGAACTTCACTTGACTTCATATAAAAAAGTCACATTTTCTCTCCAAACACCCAATTACTGCATAATCTCTGCTTATTTGAGACGCTTTCAATGACTTTTGGGAGAATGTAATTAATTTCTCTTTGTTATATGAACTTATCTGCAGCTAGCAGAAATGACACAAAATGCTTCCCGGCAAAAATTTTGATGTGTTTACAAAAAAAAAAAAAAAAACTGAAACACGAGTTTAAATAGCAGAAAAACAAACAACAGGCCAAAGTGACTGACAGCTGCATCCACGGGCTTCATTTTCATTTCACCAAATTGATTACATCTGTTGCCACCAAAAGATGATGACCAGGGAAATGCAGCTTCAAACATGGATGGATGACTGGCCTTGAAACGTCTGGCAGAAAAGGCTCAAAGACGCCATCCCACGAGCCAGACCTTGAACCCGTACTCTGAAATCTGCAATCAGCCGTTTGAAATAAATTAATCAACTTTATGGCTGACATGTGCCAGGTTTCGCTCTCCGCACTGATGCGGGAAAGGTAGCAGGCGGATTAACTGAAATGGTCGTTTCCTGTGATATATTTCGGGCCCCTTTAATGTGAGCCTCAGGCCGGAGTACAGAGCGAGAAGAGCACTGAGATTTTAAAAACCAGGTCCTACATTCTAGTCTGTTGTCTGCTCTCTAGCCCAGTGTTTCCCAGTCTGGTCCTCGGGGACCCAGCGCCAGTCCATGTTTTTGCTCCTGCCAAGCCCCCGACCAGACAGTCTACATTTTTGCTCCCTCGGGAGCTGGGAGGGAGCAAAAACATGGCCTGTCCCGTGAGTCCCTGAGGACCACATTGGGAAACACTGCCCTAGGGACAATCCTGCACTACAGAGACCTTCTCTCTGAAGATAACAGCTTCACTCCATCTATCCTATTAGAAGTCCATAAAAGCCAATTCTACATGGATACCCACAAAAAGATGGCATATGTTAAAAACACAGGGATCCTTTTAAGTACAATATATGGGTAATAACTAAATTAAATCTGGTGATTTAACACTGTAAAAAGTGTCTTTCTCATCTTCTTCATATTATATCCACAATTCTATACACCTTTATGATAAACTATTACTTTTATGTTTTTTGGATATACCTAAAAAACAAAAAAAAAAATTGTAAAGATTCCTATGCCAGTGTCTTGGCTAGAGTTAATGGTAATACTCAAGTTCTTTTAGTCCTACGCAGGGAAATTTATGATGAAATGGAAGATGGCTTTTTATAGCTGCCATACCGCATGAGATCCATCAAGATCTCTCCATGAATTTCTCTGAAGCAGGCTACTGGCCTCAAACTGAATTTTATTTAAAAACTTAAAATATGCTAACCAGCAAAACAAGTCAAGTAAAGGCAAATAACTATTCTTTAAGTATGAACTTTATTCAAGTATATAATCAGAGGACACACGGCTCACTCTGACTCTCCTTCCTCAGTTTATATGGTGGGCTTTGGCTTATACAGTTGGGGATGTACGTGATGTTTTGTGATCTGTACACTATGGATATTTAGCCAGAAACACCACAAGCATTTACTGATCGGATTGGAGGAGCATGACAAAATAGCAATAAATGTCTAAAATGTGTACATATATTTATTGTAATGCTTATTAGTGTTTTACATTTTTATTCAATGCCACAACGCACATTTTACAGAATGAGATGGTTTCAGTGAAACCTGCATTCTTCAGAATGTTTTTTTTCCTTGTTTCTCTTTTCTAAGAGGCTGAATGATGAGTTTAATGATTCCGATTCCAAAGCTGCTTATGAGAAAGCGAATGGCTTAATTAATCAAACTTTAATCATGCACTGTGGGAAAAACTGAAGCAGATTCAAAACATATGCAAATAAAAAACCTAGAATAGAACTTCCAGAAGAATTTCTATAATAATAAAGAAGGTCCTCATTAGTGAAACAAGCAATCAAGTGGACAGACTTATCGGTGTGCAGTTATAAAATGTGGTCTGAGAAACGCGTAAGTGCAAAAGAAAATACACCACAGGCACCATTTGCCTTTAACAAGGTAAAGATGAGTAAGTGTGTAAAGGATGAAAATGATCGGAAGGAAAAAAACATACGTCGTAAAATGAATGAGTTACAGGCACCCCATTAAACGTGGTAATATTTTTTCCAAAGATAATGACTCTGAATCACCTTAAATATCTCCAAATCTTTGATGTAGGCAGAAATTGTCATTTTATAGCAACAGCACTAATAAAGTTATAATGGGGTATCATACTGAGCCTTGTTTCAATCAATCGCAATTAATCACAAATGTTTTTGTCTAGATCTGATTTTTTGCCACTTGTTTTAACAAATGCCATATTTTTTGATACCTTAGACAGAATAGTGCTAGACAATCAACTAATAAACCTTGTGATCCATCAATCTTCCAAGCACTTATCCTACTCATAAGGATCCTGAAGCCAGTTCCAGGCAGCACAGGGCACCAGGCAGGGCACTAAGCAGGGCACCAGGTAGAGCACTAAGCAGGGCACTAAGCAGGGCACTAAGCAGGGCACTAGGCAGGGTACCAGGCAGGGCGGATGCAATGCCCATCCACCACAGCTCAGACACACAATCATACACTATGAGGAATAAAGAGACTCCAGTTAACTTCAATGCATGCCTTTAGACCGCAAAAAGGAAATCAGAGAACCTGTACAACACCTGTGTGACGTGGTCAGAACCTGCAAGCTCTCCACACAAAGAACAAGGGTGGGATTGAAACCCACAACCACAGAAATACGAGGAAATAGCACTACCCATCAAGACACCGTGCTGCGAAACATAACAACCTCTGTCACAAAATATTGCTACTAGATATTTTACCTCTGTGGTTTCTTTCCTGTGTATATAAACTCCATATTAAACAAAACAGCTTTCAAATCTCAACTTCCACTTGTCGACACTACATTAAAGTATTCGCAAAGTAATTTATTTACGATTAGCCTCAAACCAGATGTTTTCATACTCCATAACATATCCAGGTAGCTACATCCAGGGCTACAAAACAGCGTGGAGGGCGGGAATTAAAAGAGCAGATATTCAAAGTCAGCATACCAAATCTAGTTCACATTCTCTGACTTTCATGTGCCCAAATTCATTTTTTACGCTCTGGAAAAGGCGTTAAACAAATTACAGAATCGAAATCTCTCTTTTTCCAAATTAATACATGTTGGCATACAGATTACAAAGATCCCTTATCAACACTGGCAAGTCGACATATTTTCATTTAAGTTTACTTTTTCAAAAAGTGACTTACAGATCGTTGTCTTGAGCTGTGCTACTTTTTTTATAGCCGAACAATTTATTGAAGCAATTCAGGTTAAAAGTTTAACACCGAGTCCATTCATCCATCTTCCGACCACTTATCTATAGTACAGGGTCAAATCCAGCCTAGAGTCAGCAAGGGGGTACCAAGGCAGGAGATGCCAGGATGGAATGACAATGATCGAGTGCGGAACCTGAAATCATTTGGTCCGAAAACCTAATTTCTTAGTCAACAGACAACCTCCTACCAACAGACTGCATTATGAGGTATGTAATGCTTTGGACAGATGTATACATGGTGGACAGAAACATAGAATGGAAATGACAAAATTATTGCTACACTTATGCTGTAAAAGGGTACAATTACTTGTCACCAGGGCTGTACCCTCAAGAGTCTGTCAACTGTATCTTAGCTGTAGGTAAATGTACCTTTTAAGGTACAGAAATGGACTCTGAGGAACATTTTGTACCATTGGGGTATATTAAATTTGTTTGTACCTTGGAGACCAAAACTGTACAAGGGCTGTACCCTTTTTTCTGACGGTGTACATATTCAAACAGATTGGTAGAGGTGCCAATATTGTCCTACAAGGCAAAACACAGTAACTGCACTAACACTAAAAATGGTTTCGAAGTTTGTCGTCGCAAGAGACAACTGAGCCTAAGAAACTCAATTTCTATAAAACTCAATTTTGGGAAAACATGCAGTTGCAGTGTTTTGCTTTTTATGGCAGAATAGCTTGAAGTCAGAAACCATTATGTTTGATGGCCACTAGGGGGCATGAAGTTTAAGGGCCAGCATGAGGTGACATTGAGGTCACAAATGACACCTCAGAAGGAATCAGAATACTCAACAAACATGATTCCTGTCTTAGACATCTTGCCGAAAAAGAATACAACACGTTTATTTTATTTATTCTCCAACCTGAATTAAAGCAGCCCTTAAAAAACATCATCTACTAAAATTTTGTACTAATAAGTAAACAAAATGAAGGAATCTTTTTCCAGGACCACTGCCCAGGGAAAAACACTTTATAACCAACCTTGAGTTACCCAGCATTTTTTTGCTACACCCTATTTCCTTATCATTGCAATTGCAACACATAAAATTTTAACCTGAGCAACAAACATATTTAGATCCAGTTAATGCTACAGCAAGTGGAAAAGGCAATCGTGTTTTTGTGGCTTGCAGGGGGCTGTGGTAGCAGAGCTCGAACCAGCTCCCCGTCAGTCACAGGTCCAGGGGCTTTAAGGCCATGCTAACCGCAGCCCCCTGCTGGACCACACATGGAAGTGCCAGAAAGGGTCACTGACCACGCAGCGGCTGTGCTGTTGCCGTAAGGTCAGGCCGTCTCCTCCGATGGACCCGCACTGGTTCAGCTCCTCCTCCATCCGGCGCAGCCACTTCCACAGCTCCTCCAAGAGTGATAGGAGCGGACCCCACCTCTCCACAGAGACCTCTGGGAGCACCCTGCGGGGAAAATCACCCATCTCAGCTCCCGGTGCGGTCTCCCCCCTCCCCTCCCCCTCAGATATAGCTGCCACATCATCTGGAAAGGCCACCGGTAAACATTATGAGCCATTTTCACGTCCCAGGGAGCAAAGTTAGTCCCAAAATCTGTAAAAATCTTTCAAGCTGCGTGTTGATTGATATTCCGGAATATTCCCTCTGACAGCCTCAATGTATTTTAATTATGCAAAACAATTGCGACAAGACATCAGAAGGCTAGAAATGTAATACAGGCAATGCACCCCTTACAAAATTACACTTATATGTACATGTACACTAATTATTTTGCCGTGCTGAAGAGAGAGATGCTCAGCAATGTGATTACACCCATCTAGGGCATTTACCAGGCGTTTGCATGCATAATGGATAATTCTGTTGTATTGTGAGTTGTTATTCGCTCATGGGAATGTAACAGCAGCTCAGATGTGCGCGTCGTGATGGGATAATCCATTACGGACGGAGCGTGCCAAATCAACATCGGACCTGGATGTGCTTAATTGCCTCGCTGTGTTTTAGTACTTACGTTCTTCGGAATGGTAAAGCATTGTAACTAAGCCCTCCCCCACCCCCATCCGTGGGTGGACGGACCTACTGTCAATCCTGGCCTTCAGTTCAATTTCACTCTCCACCACCCCGCCGGGAGGGTGCGTCGGGAGTGAGGCATCTTCAGCAGCGCCCCCCTTTGGCCGGCCCGGGTCAGCGTTCCTGAAGACATCGCCGTGGGAGTCGAGGTCCAGCTGAATGTCCTCCAGAGGTAAAGATCATGGAGAAGGTACAGAGAAAGTTATAATAGAGGGAGGGTAGTTTTAGGGGGAAATAAATTATAGGAGAACTCTAACTCTTTTGAACAGTTGTGGTTCTAGAGCACTTCAACTGGGGGGCAGTTGTTCTGTTGCGGGGGGCATATGCATTTGACCTACATGCCCTCCAAGTATTACTTACAGTTGATTGCCAGCATTAAGCAAAAGAGCCGATGTTACTTATGCAATGCATTGCAGTTACATTTAGTTGTTTTTACGGATATGTAACTCACTCTGATTTCCTGTTTAGACTGTTTTGCTTGCACGAGTTTGATTCTTTTTTTCTGTCGTTAACTTTTCACCAACTGAAGAGACTCGACCACCCGGCGCACGCGCGTTAAGAGTCCGTCAATAAAATGTGCTAACGTTTGTTTCGCCTTTTCCCAGGGCACAACATTTTAGCCCACATACAGTATATTAATATAAACAATAATATTTTTTTTCCAGAGCTAAGTAGCAGACATATCTTGGGGGGCGGGGGCACAGGCGGCCCATGCATTTAGTCACGGGGGGACTACCCCACCACTCCACCCCCAGAATCGCTTTTCAAAAATTAAAACTACGCCCAGAACAAGAAGTTTCACTGTCTAAAAGCATCATAGTGAAATTTTTATTTTGTGAAGACTGTGCAATAGAAGGGCAGTTTTTTTCTAACTTATCCTCACCTTATAAAAGAAAAATTGCAGCGGGGAGAAAGACAGTCTCTCAACAGACACATTTAATGGCTCAGAATTGTTGGCGATTGAGTAAGCTATGTCCCCCGAGCAAACGCCGCCTCCCGTAGCCGGAAAATTGCGCTGTGACTCGCGCTGTTCAGCCGTCAGATGATGCGACTTTCAACTATTGCGCAGATTTAGAGAGAACAAAAGCCCTGATGGAAATCAGGATAATTTAAATTTAGCGCGAACAATCAGCTTCAGTCACGCTTTATAACCTGTGATGGGAGACTCCACGGGCGTGCAGTGAATTCCAGTAGCTAAAAAGTTTTAGTAAGTTATCAATTTAATCTAATAAATATTCCCCAAACAAAGCCGAGCTGTCAACTCAGCGAGACAGTACATCTTCATCAGACATCCCCCAAAGACAGATCGCTCATAAATCCCGTCACGTAATTCTGTGCGGATAAACACGCATTTGACGTTACAGAGAAATTGTTGATTACTGGCAGTGTTTTTGGTCTCCTGTTAAGAGTATATGAAAGTTTGCTCGGATTTCCTTGGAGCGACCAGGTACAATTTTGAAGACGGTACTAGAATAGATTACTAACACAACCACAAGTCTGTGTCTTTCATTAATGCCTTTGATGACGTTATATATTTTAGTTTTTAAGTTGAACACAATTATATTTCAGCAGCCAAACACGCACAAAGAATTATGGCCGTTGTTAGTATAATGATAACGTTTACCGTGCAATAGTAGATGTTTATACTGTATTAGATATTTTGTATACTGGATACCAATAAGCTTAATTTTATATCTTCTGGACAGCACAAAGAAGAAAGCCATAGAAAGGTTGGGAGAATATGCAAACGCACACAGATCTATGGTGGAAATTAAAGCCGTAAGTGTGAAGACATTGGACAACAGCGCGTCCCATCGCGATGGAGGACCCTTCGCTACATAAAGCCATGAGGTGAAAAACACCCATGAATGACGGTGATGATGCCTGCAACAACACAGATGTGAGATTTTCATCTGGTGGCTGTTAGAGTGCCCAGGAATGACACTGGCAGCCAGGGAAAAGCCAACCCACCCACCCCCCCCAGGGTGGATTTTATCACCTATAAGAGGGGTGTGAGAGATATGATCTGGTGGCTTCACTGCCCCGCCACCGACAGATGGGGGGGGGGGGGTTAGGGTTAGGGGGGGGACTCAGTGCCAGTGGACCTTTTTCTCCCATTTGCTTGCGGTGAGCCTTTAATTTAAGCTTGTTTAACCGGGGGTGGGGGCTATACATAAATGCAAAATATTATTATAATAATTATTATTATTATTATTATAAACACACAAAAACATATTTATCCATTATCAATCTACTGAGGCCCAATTTTTCCATCCTACACTGTCATGAAACAAAAGTTCCAATCTGTACCTTTTAGGGTAAAATTACTTGTCACTGGGGCTGTACCCTCAAGGGTCTCCCAATTGTACCCTATAGCTGTAGTTAAATGTACCTTTTATGGTACAGAAATGGACTCTGAGGAACACTTTTGTACCACTGGGTGTACGTTACTGTTGTTTGCACACTGGGGGCCGTACCCTTTTTTTCTGGCAGTGTATATCTGGAGTTTTGTTCTCTCTCTTTTTTGTAGGTGTCCACCAACAGTCCAGGGGTGTGTGTTTAATGTTTAATTTAGTGATGCTAAATTGCCCTTGATGCATGGGGGTGTGAGTGGATGTGCCCTGCAGTGGAGCAGGTCGTCCCCTGCTTTGTGCTTCACGGCCTCGGCTCCAGATTCACTGTGGGCCAGTACTATATGAGCAGAAGATGGATGGATAGATGGACAAGTAAAGGTCAGCAGGTTTATTGACATGTGAGTTCAGAGAGATTCGTTTTTTTTTTTTTGGTGCCATTACAAAGCAAAAACAACATCTCCACGGGCCCCTTCATTTTGGAAAAGAATATTGGACTGATCTGTGCTGACAGGTCATTGCCTTGCGGCTGAAATAAACCCGAAGGTGAAGATTATGTTGCACCTTGGCCCTCTCAGAAATTATAATAATGACCCACAGTACGGAGGTCTGAACCCAGGCGCCAAGTTCAGAGGTAATCATCTTAAAAAAAAACTGGAAATATACCCATAATTCTCTGCAGAGCATGAAAGATTTTCCGTGGGCATCTTTCACCGCTGACATTCGTCGGATAACTGAAGCTGGGTGATATTAACAGTTTTAAGAGACATCTTGCTGAAGAGATTAACACCTAAAATCCAACGGGATGGCAAGCAGTATTTTGCAAACAATTCCAACCCAGGAGGGGGTCGGACCTGGTCTCAATAAAACGGGCGCGACAGTTTGAAATCAGCTCGATGGCGAGCGAGTGCCGTGTGTTTGTAGAGCACAATAGCTTGAAATCTCAGCTTCAAAGAAGCGAAGGGACACAAACAGAGATAGAGGACTTCAAAGTGCCAGCTCTCTTGGCGTCCTTCCGGACGGACGATTGCGAGGGGGGGGTGCTGCAGTAAAGTGGCAAGTATCCGCCACACTGCCGCCTCACAGCGCGGGGGAAACTGCGCTGCCGCCTATCCCTGCCCAAAAGCAGACATCTGTCGGAGGCTCGGAGTGTCCCAGCAGCAGAACATACGTCTGAGATCTCAGGCGTTTAAACAAATCAATCAGCCTGGAAAGTGTCACACACCAGAACCTCAAATATAATGCAGTGCAGTTCTGTGACTTTGCTTAATTTCCAGTCTGTGCATCAAGCAATTTCAGCTACAGCAGATCCCTGGCGTATCTTACCTAAAGTGCAGAGCAGACACATTATTGTAGAAGCTTGGTTCTGCACTGTGAGGAATAGCTTAGTGTTTCAGAGATTTTTAATTTTTTTTTTGACTTGCTAGCAACTGCTTGGAGATTCATTCCACTGGTCATCTTCTTCACTTCAGTAAACTGTAGTATTAAATCATCTAACCTATGCATCACTGCTTATTATACAATACACTGAAAAGTAACAAAAATGAAGAATACTTCCTCCGAATGAAATTGTACATGAACATGTACAGTATATATTATTTTTATCTGTACAGGAGCACTGCACATTTCGATTAAAGAAATTACTGGAGACTTACGAAACATAATGAAAGTGACACAATATGAGTAGCAATAAAATCGAATGTTAAGTAACAGCCAATAAAGAGACAGCCATAGCTTTCTTAGCGGAGTAATCTGCGATGAAATGGGACCTCAGAGGCATAGAGAAAATCATCATCAGGGCATTTAAGCAAGAAATATTGCACATATACTTACTAGATCTGCCAGCTTTCTAAGG